GGTGTTGCTGCTGCCCACTCCTCAGGTATAAAGGGAATGTCTGCATCCTGGTCTTCCTCTTCTTCTGCTGCTGCTGCTGCTGCAGTTTGCTGCTGCTGCAGCANGGAATGTCTGCATCCTGGTCTTCCTCTTCTTCTGCTGCTGCTGCTGCTGCAGTTTGCTGCTGCTGCAGCAGCAGCAGCAGCAGCAGCAACAACAACAATTGCAATAGCTGCAAACGCCCAGACAATCGAAGCATCTTGCTGCTCCTGTTGCTGCTGCTCCTCCTGCTGCACCTGCTGCTACTGCTGCAGCAGGTGCTGCTGCTGCTGCTCCTGCTGCTGCAGCAGATGCTGATGCTGATGCTGCTGCTTAGCTTAGCCTAACCTGGCCGGGTGCTGCTGCTCCACAGAGGGATGCTGCTGCAGTTGCCGCTGCTGCTGCTGCTGCTGCTGCAGTTGCTGCTGCTGCAGCAAATAGTGATGCTGCAACGAGCGGCGCGCTGCTGCTGCTGCTGCTGCTGCTGCTGCTGCTGCAAGGGGTTATAAAAAATGTATTAAAAAGGCACTTGGATAGTAAACGGGAGATTTCCCGCTGCTGCTATTGCTGCTGCTGCTGCTGCAGTTCTTGCTGCTGCTGCTGCTGCTGCTGCTGCTGCTGCTGCTGGGAGCAGCTGCTGCTGGTTCGCCCGCTCCTCTATAGCCGGCGTTGTCGCTGCTGCTGTACAGCTTGTTTGTTGTTGTTTATTTATTTTTAATATATTTTTATAAATAATTATTTCATTTATTAACTTATACAACAAGCAGCAGCAGCAGCAGCGGGGTTGTTTAACTAGAATGGTCGCTGCTCCTTTGTCTCTTCGCTGCTGCTACTGCAGCAGCAGCAGCAGCAGCAGCAGGCTGTGCTGTTCCAGGTGTACAGCCACCTCAAGCAGCAGACTCGCTAGTGGGCGCCTGCAGCGGGGGGCCCCTCAGTTGCTGCTGCTGCTGCTGCTGCTGCTGCAGCTGCTGCTGCACTCCCCTGCTGCTGCGATCTCGCTGCAGCAGGAAACAGCTGCCCCCCCTTCATGGGGCGTTTCAAGGGCGGGGTACACCAAGTCTGCTGCTGCTGCTGCTGCACCTGCTGCTGCTGCAGCAGCAGCAGCAGCAGCAGCGTCTGAGCCGCGGCAGCAGCAGATGGGTGCCTTCATTGCTTCTCCCCCCACACAACCGAGCAGCAGCAACCATCTGCAGCAACAGCAGCAGCACACCGTAGCAGCAACTGCAGCAGAAGGCCCAGCACCAGCAGCAGCAACAGCAGCAACAGCAGCAGCAACAGCAGCAGCAGCAGCAGCACGAAATACGCGTCTATTTGGCAACTGCTGTTTCACAGGTGGTGAGGCTCAATTCGTGAGCAGCAGCAGCAGCAGCGACGACAGCAGCAGCAGCAGCAGCAGCAGCGACACCCCCACACCACCGCCAGCAGCAGCAGCAGCAGCAGCAGCAGCAGCAACAACACCACAGATTCCTCGTGTGGGGCCCTCCACCGCGGGGCCCCGCCCCGACTGGTTTCATGTGCCGGCACCCAGGGGCCCCGGCTCTCGCTTCGCGCTGCTGCAGCAGCAGATTAGGGGTTTGAAGCTGCATACTGTACGCGCTAAACCCTAAACCCTAAACCCTAAACGCTAAACCCTAGAATTCTCGGTTGTGGTTTTTATAGCGCAGAGAGAAAGAGAGAAAGAGAGAGGTATTGGGTTATAGGAAGCACTTGAAACAAGGGAAAAACTAGGGTTTAGGGTTTAGGGTTTAGGGTTTAGAAATTAGGGTTTAGGGTTTAGGGTTTAGGGTTTAGGGTTTAGGGTTTGTGTGTAGGTGTGTGAAGAAGCCAAGTGCCCCAACATAGGCGAATGCTGGGAGGGGGGGACGGCGACGCTGATGCTGCTGGGGGATACATGCACGCGTGGCTGTCGGTAAACCCCAAACCCTAAACCCTAAACCCTAAACCCTAAACCCTAATTTGTAAATGCTAAACCCTAGAGCTGAGTACATCGTCCTTTGTTGTTCGCTGTGTCGGTGGTTTAGGGTTTCGCTTGAGGGTTTTGGGTGTATGAGTCTTTATCCTCCCCCATCAACTCAAAAACTAGGGTTTAGGGTTTAGGGTTTAGGGTTTAGGGTTTAGGGTTTGTGTGCAGGTTCTGTGCTATCAAAACCTCCGCTAAACCCCCGCCCCCAGACCCCCTCGAACCCCAAAAAGTGGCTGAGGCGGTGGCGCAGTGGGACATAGATTACGTGGTTCTTACAAGCGTAGACAGGTAAACCCTAAACCCTAAACCCTAAACCCTAGTAAACCCTAAACCCTAAACCCTAAACCCTAAACCCTAGGTGTTTACAGGAGAAAGAAACAACGCAGAGGGAAGATAGAGGCAAACCCGGAGAGTATTTCACCGTACCTTTTCTAACCTTGCAGATAACTAGGGTTTAGGGTTTAGGGTTTAGGGTTTAGGGTTTGTGGTTTAGGGTTTAGGGTTTAGGGTTTAGGGTTT